AAACTGCATGGATGAAAATGTAGGCAATTCCTCCACAGTACTGTAGCTAAAGGTATCTTTAAAGATGAAATTCCACTGACCAAGCAAGTGGAAGCAAAGATAAACAAATAGAACTACATGAAACAAAGAAGCTTCTGCACCTCTAAGAAACAGTGACCAAGATTCAAAGACAGCCTTCGGAATGGGAAAGGTATTCACCGAAGCCCTTATGAGAAGGAGTTATTATAAAGATATACAAGGCACTGGTTGCACATTACTAGAAAAAAACTTCCAACCTCATCAAAAATGGAGAGAAGAAATGAACAGAAACTTTTACAAAGAAGAGATTCAAGTGGCCAAAAGGCACATGAAAAACTGTTTTTCATTACAAATCATCAAAGATATGCAAATCAAAGAATTCTAGTGTCATTGCAAATACTACCTGAGGTAAAAAATAAATATTAATCTAAAAAGAATCCTATTTTTTTCTATGCAGAGGATTTTCACAATGATGAGTAAAATTGTCTTAGTATTTCAAATAGGCTACTGTTCTGGTTTCATCTAGTTTCACAGTTTTGCTAGAAAGATCATGACTTTTGACTTAGGATCAGGTTTTCTCTATTTTATGCTTTATAGAGTCTCTGAACTTCCAAATAATCCAGGAACTCTACTTCTTGTCATCTACCCTAAGGATTTAAAAACACTGTTTCAAAAGACGTTTCTGCTCCTGTGTTCATAGCCCAAATCTGAAAGCATACCAAAAGTTTAGTTACAGATGAGAGGATAATGAAATTGTGATATACATTAACAATGGAATACTACTGCAATATAAGAAAAGATTAAATCATGCAATTTTCCCATGTGGATAGAATTAGAGGGTATTGTGTTAAATGAAGTCAATCAGAAGGTGGAGCACAAGTAAAGAAGATCCTCTTGTGCATGAGGCATAATGGAGCAAATAAGAAAATGAAAAGGATAAAAAGCAACAAAACCTAAAAATTTGTCAAAAAACTGAGCTTATCAAGGCAGGATATAGGGAATGAAACTTGTTCTACAGAACCAAGTTTACACAGGAATGGGGTGGGTGGGGAGGGGCTCTATGAGCATTATGGATAAAGAAAGATATTCTGGTGACGGGTTTGGTATTGAAATGATGAATGCATGAAATTACAATCAACAATAAATCATAGTGCCTCTACAAAAATTGGGGTAAATTTCTCCTTTGTGTTGCTATTAATTTACTTTTATTTGCCATTTTAGTTGAGGTACTGGGAATTTCAAGACTAATCATTCTTTTCATTCCCTCAGTAATTTATAATATCAAACCTCACACTCGCATGGTTTCTGTTGGTCCTAATAAAAAATTCTTGTCTAACATTTTAGAAAGGCTAATCAGAGAAATCAGGGCCATTTTGCTGATACATCTGGAACTCTGTAAATGCCTGACTGAGACACATCTTCACATAGTATTTCATTCACTTGTGTTTGTGTGTGTGTGTGTGTGTGTGCAGGAAGTGATGTCACTGTATGTTTGTTTTCTTTGGTGTGAAGATGTTGTGCTTGTTTCAGAGGGGTGAACCACACTTGGCTGTACTTATGGATTTATCTTGGCTGTGTGCTCAAAGATCCCTTTGGGCAGTGCTTGGAATCAAACGAGGCTTGGGCACATACAAAGCAAGTGTTGCACTCAGGATGATAAAACCCAAGGACAGGAACAGAAAATAGCATTGAAATTGAAAATAGCAAGATCAGAAAAGGAACTTGCCTATATGGAATGCCCATAGCTTTACAGAATATCAGACAAATAAGACTTGATGAGCCAGAAGAGAATGAAGCTGGGAAACAAAGAACAAAAGACAAATAATGTCTTTAAAATGAGCAACTCCCACAAAGTATATTCTATCCAGCTATGTCATCACTCAGATGAAGGACTGATACAGAATTTAATGGACCACAGAAACTTAGAGAGCTAATGTGCTTGCTTGCATGTGGCTGATCTTATTGGATCTCTGGTACTCTAGGTGGTTCCCTGGCACCACCAGCATTACTCCTGAAAACAGAACCAAGAATAGCTCCTGTGAATCTCAGGGTATGGTCCACATCCAAACCAAGAGTATTATTTGGACAGGAGCCCATTTTGGGTGGCAGGAGCCTCCAAAGTAGTGCTCAGAGGGCCCAGTTTACACAACCCTTCATACTCTGCCAATTGAGACCAATGTTTAATGTTAGGACCCCTTGATGTTGCTCTGCTCTGGTGCAACAATGCTGGGGGACACCAGGGCACCCTTCCGGGGTTACACCTAATAGTACAGATCAAACTGGGAATCAACAGCAGCTTTGTAAAGCAAATCACACAACTGACCCTGAAGCTATCACCCTGATCACCCTCTTGTGTTTGCATTCTTCTCTACAGCTTGATAAGATATGTCCTATTATTTAAATTTTTTCCATTTTTCATAATTTTATTTATTGAATCACCATGAGAGCAGTGTCCTATCATTTAAAACTTTTGGATTTCCCTCATTGTATTAGAAAATACTGCAGGCACTGACCCTGAAGAAGAACAAGACTTTCTGTTAATAAGCCACTACCAGGTTATTTATCACAATACAGTTTGTAAGAATAAGTTTTAAACTTAAAATAACCAAAGTATAACAATGTTATATCAACAGCAAACATGAACCAGAGAGTTGTACTACTTGAGGAAAATGAATATGAATATAGATCTCCTACAATTTTAGATCTCAGGAACAACAAACAATTCCTGGCTCATAAGTAGGTCACGTATGAGGTGAGAACAAAGAGGAACTGGATACTGAGGTGACATGAAAGGCCTTCTGAACTTTTTGCCACCTCATCTCATCCACATCACCATGTGGTTGCAGTTATTTTAGCCCTTTGCGGGGGGGGTCCCGATAACCACTCTCCGGCCCGTGGAGGTGGCCCTAGGATCCGTAGGTGCAGGGAAGGACCGACCGAATGAACATAAGACACAAAAGACAGAATGCAGTTCAGAAACAGAGAGAAAAAGGTACAGACTTTATTGGGGGCAATCAGGGTATATATCCATTAGTGAGGCAGTTACATAAAAGGTATGCCCATATATGGTTAGGAAGGTTTTTTTTCACATATCTCTCATAAAGTTTATGCGTATCTTGTACCAGACACGAGGTAGTTACAGAAAAGGCCATGTCCATATGATTTACCAGACATGAGGTAGATACACAAAGGGCCATGTCCATCACTTAATCACTTAATCACTTAACTTCCCGTTAGTCGTTGATTTGCTCGAGCGGGCGCCAGTACCATCTCCATTTGTCCCTGTCGCGTGCTAGTGTAGCACAATGGCATCTGTTCGCTCTGGGAACATGGAGGGCCTCAAACCGATCATTCATGGGCGGCCACGCGGTCTTTTGACATCCCGTGGAATCCAATCAGTAACAGCTCTAGTCCAACGGTCGTCTTTAAATCTCATTACGTGACCAGCCCATCTGATTTTCGACACCTTGGCAAATAAGACAGCGTCCCTGATCCTTGATCGTCGACTGATGTCAGAACTCCGGATTCCTTCTCTCATTTGAGTGAAACGTGATATTCCAAGCATAGCTCTTTCTATTCTTCTTTGGGAGACCTGAATAGCGTTCTCATCTTGTTTGCGTAGGGCCCAGGTCTCTGAGGCATATGTTAATGCAGGAAGAACAGTGGAATCAAAGAGATGTGCCCAGAGCCAGAGGTTCTTCGTCCTCTTAGCTATTTCTTCAACGTTCTTGAAGGCGTTCCAAGCTGCTCTCTTCCTCCTGCGCAGCTCGGGTGCCAGGTCATTTGTCATGTTGACCTCTCGACCTAGGTACACATAGCTGTTGCATTCGGAGATGGTCGTTCCGTTGAGAGCGAATGGGGCGTCAGGAACGAGGCTGTTTCTCATGAACATTGTCTTCATAAGATTCAGCTGTAGTCCTACCTTTCCACACTCACGGTCAAAGTCGGCCAGCATTTGTGCCGCTTGGCTGATGTTTGGTGTTATTAAAACAATGTCATCAGCAAAGCGGAGGTGGTGTAGTTGCCGACCATCTATCTTCACTCCCATTCCTTCCCATTCCAGTCGTCGCATGATGTTCTCGAGGGTGGCACTAAAGAGTTTCGGTGAAATGGTATCACCCTGCCGAACCCCTCTCTTGACATCAACGATCACTTCTTTGTAGAATGGTGAGATCCTGGTAGTGAATCCGCAATACAGCTCACGGAGGATACTGATGTATTGGGCTTGAATGCCCTGATTGGCTAGGGCTTCAATGACCACTTCCGTCTCAACAGAATCAAAGGCCTTTAAATCAACGAACGTTAAACAGAGCAGCATCTTGAACTCCCAAGAAACCTCAATGAGCTTGGTTATCGTGTGGATATGGTCGATGGTGCTGAATCCTTTGCGGAACCCGACTTGCTCGCATGGTTGTCCTTCATCTAGTGTTCTGCCAATCCTATTTAGGATGACTTGAGTGAACAACTTGTAGATGACAGACAATAGGCAGATCGGGTGATAGTTGCCAATGTCATGGATGTCTCCCTTCTTGAACAGTAGTACGGTCCTGCTGGTTTTCCATTGGGACGGAACCTTGCATTCAGACAGGTAGCGAGTGAAGAGCCGAGCCAGTGTATTGATGAGTACTGACGGCAGGTTCTTCAGGTGTTCAGGTCTGACCTTGTCTGGGCCGGGTGCTGTTTGTTTCTTTACCGACGAAATGGCGTGTCGGATTTCAGAAGGGAGAACGTTGGGAACGACATATCCATCCTGTGGAATTTGGTATGTCGGCAAGTGGACATGGCTATCAAAGAGATTTGAGTAGAAGTCATGGATAATCTTCTCCATTGCTGTTCTGGAGGATGTGATGGATCCATCAGGACGTTGGAGGGCAGTCATCTTGGTCTTATAGTTGGCAAAGGACAGGCGGGCGTTACGAATACTTTTCCCGGCTTCTGCCACATCTACCAGTACTTCTGCTCTTCTCTCTTTGAGAGAAAGGAACGGCATCTCCTGTAGAAACCCCTAAACAAGATCCTACAACTTTAGCAAAAACAGAGGACAGTATCACGGTTGAAATTCAGCTTCCTTCTAAAAGCTCCATGGAAGAACAGCAAGAACAGCAGCCGGTCTCTTTGTCTTCTCAGCAGCCCGTCTCTTTGTCTTCTCAATACTCCTTGAGCACACAAATGGAGTCGACTCAAGTTTCAGCTTCTTTCCCCAGAAGTTACCAGAAAACTGATACCACCAGGTTAACATCTGTGGTCACAGCGAGACCTTTTGGCTCACATTCAAGAGGAATCACATCACTCCCAAGATTCTACACACTGGATGATTCCTGGAAGTATAATGGAGATATAGACAGCAGTAAGAGGATGCAGATCAGTTCCGGCACCATGACGCGGACCCTGGACCCAGTCCCGCTTGCAACCAGCTTGTCCAGTGTGCAGGAGACCACTGTAGAGAGTGTCACACAAGGCCCCTCTCCTACCTCTTCCTTGGCTTCTCTTTCCCAGGACCAGCCTGCCACTTCAAAAGCCACATTGTCTTCCATGTCTGGTCTCGATTCCATGTCCGAGTCTGGGGAAGGGCCAGGCTCCCCCCAGAGGGAGGTTTCAAAGTCACAGGATCAGTTCAGTGATATGAGAATCAGCATAAACCAGACGCCTGGGAACGCTTTTGACTTTGGCTTTACAGTAAGATGGGATTTTTCCAGCATCTTCGTAGCATCAGTCGAACCAGATAGTGCAGCAGAATTTTCTCAGCTACAGGTAGATGATGAGATTATTGCTGTTAACAACACCAAGTTTTCATATAAGGACAAAAAAGAGTGGGAGGAAACCATGGCTAATGCTCAAGAAACTGGAAACCTAGTGATGGATATCAGGCGCTATGGAAAGTCTGGTTCACCTGAAACAAAGTGGATTGATGCAACTTCTGGAGTCTACAGCTCAGACAAATCTTCAAGTCTATCAATAACGACTGAATTCTCAGAAAGCCTGCGGGGCTCTAATATTCAGTCTAAAGAAGTCAATGGAATTTGTGATGAAAGCAATAGTTTTGAAACAAAAGCATCTGAACCTATTTCTTTGAAAAACTTAAAAAGACGATCACAATTTTTTTGAACAAGGAAGTACTGATTCTGTGGTTCCGGATCTCCCTATTCCAACCATCAGTGCCCCGAGTCGCTGGGCCTGGGATCAAGATGTCCATATGATTTATAAAATTTATATGCATCACGTACCAGACACGAGATAGTTACTTCTTGTTATTACTGACAGCCATGACAGATGTTCTCTCAGGATAACCATACATCAAGATAACCAACAGGCACTGGCTTTGCCTGTTGCGGGGTCACGTAGGTCAAGACAACCATACATAGCACAGGCTGTGCCTGCCATGGGGTCGTAGGTCAAGATGACCATACCTAGCACAGGCACTTAGGCCCTTGGTCAGTTAAAGGGCCAGCTTCCCACAGCCCTTGAAACAAAATGGAAGATATTTATATGTATGACAAACTAGGCATGGATGTATTTTCACTGAACTCATTCTTTATTTTCAGAATCTATTAGAGGAAGACAAAAGAGGAGTATTTGGGGACACAGGAAGGGATAGAAAAATATATAGAACTGAACGGATGGCAAATTTGAGTCTAAACATCAGGAACAGAAACTCTTGCTCTATGGACACTATAGTCACTAATCTGACAAGAATGTACTCATGGAACCCATAAGCGTTTCATTATTTCAGGATAAGACAATTAAGCCTGGAATCATGAGAGTAAATCAACTCCAGAAAATTTAGACTTTACCTTTGGAGCTTCTTTTAGGAACCCCAGTGTTGCCATTGCTTCCTATAAATAAAAATATAGATATTAAATCATGTCTTTCTATATAGCTTTATTGATAAAGTTAATTTAAGTGATATCCTTGATATGTGGTCACCGAGCATCAACACCCTGAACTTTTGGCCAACTGCTTGTGGGGATCAAGGAATAGAGGATATAGAGTCCAGTCTGGAGGAGAAGGAAACCATCAGAAAAAACTCTTGGATCCTGAATGGTGTTGCCTATAAGGGTGATGCATTTATCTACCGAGTTTACCGCTTTTCCTGGAACAGATCAATGTTCACCCAGACCTCAAACTCAGCATCCTTCTGTAGACTCCTCTGTTCAGACTTTGCAATGGAAGCTTCAGTACCTGAAAATGTGAGTAAAGATCATCTCTTTCCTAGACTTTTTTTGAATTTGAGTCCGCGCATTGCCTTTTCCATATGACCAAGACAAATGACATAGTACTGAGCACAAGGGAATGTCTTATGTTTGAGGGGTGGATGGTAGTGCAAGGCAAGTCTTAAATGCCTACAAAACTATACTCCAAGTGCTGTGAAAGGATTTCTATATCTCTCATGGGCTGCTGATTTGAGTAATGGAGGCTTAAATTGCAATGTGAATAGTCTTTTTTTTTCTTTTTTTTTTTTTTTTTGTTATAGAAATTGCACTGAATTGGTACAATGCTTTGGGAAGTATTGCCATTTTGACAATGTTAATTCTCCCGACCCATGAGCAGGGGATATCTTTCCATTTTCTCATGTCCTCTTTTATTTCCTGAAGTAGCGTTTTGTAGTTTTCTTTGTACAGGTCCTTTAGTTCCTTAGTTAAGCTGATTCCTAGGTACTTGATTTTCTGAGGCACGGTCGTGAACGGAAATTTTTTTTCATGTCACTTTCTTCTCTTTCACTATTTGCATATAGGAAAGCCATGGACTTTTGGGTATTGATTTTATAGCCTGCCACTTTACTATATCAGTCTATTGTTTCTAGGAGTTTCTTGGTAGAGGTTTTAGAGTTCTCTAAGTATAGTATCATATCATCTGTGAATGGTGAAAGCTTGATTTCTTCCTTTCTTACCTGAATGCCCTTAATATCTTTTTCTTGCCTAATCACTATTGTAAGTACTACCAGTACTATATTGAACAGTAGAGGAGAGAGTGGGCATCCTTGTCTCGTCCCTGATCTTAGGGGGAAGGCTCTCAGTTTTTCCCCATTGAGGATGATGCTTGCTGTAGGCTTGTGGTAGATGGCTTTAACTATATTGAGGAAAGTCCCCTCTATCCCCAATTTGGTAAGGGTTTTCACCATCAACGGGTACTGGATCTTGTCAAATGCTTTCTCTGCATCTATTGATATGATCATATGATTTTTATTTTTTCTTTTGTTTATATGATAGATTATGTTGATTGATTTCCGAATGTTAAACCATCCTTGTATCCCCGGAATGAATTCTACTTGGTCATGGTGTATGATCTTTATGATGAGTTGTTGAATTCTATTTGCTAGTATTTTGTTGAGAATCTTTGCATCCGTGTTCATCAGGAATATCAGCCTGTAGTTTTCTTTTCTTGTGGTGTCTTTGTTTTCTTTTGGTATTAGAGAGATATGGGCTTCATAGAAACTATTTGGGAGAGTTTCTGTTTGTTCAATTTCCTGGAAAAGCTTGAGAAAAACTGGCAATAGTTCCTCTTTAAATGTTTGGAAAAATTCGCTAGTGAATCAGTCTGGACCTGGGCTTTTGTTTTTGAGAAGATTTTGATTACAGTTTCCATATCTTTTATGTTAATAGGTCTATTCAGGTACTCTATATCTTCTTGACTGAGCTTTGGGAGATGATAGGAATCCAGGAATTTATCTATTTCTTCTAGATTCTCTTGTAGCATACAGACTTTCAAAGTAGTCTCTGATGATCTTTTGAATTTCTTTGGTTTCAGTTGTAATATCTCTATTCTTTTTCTGATTCGGTTTATTAGGGTTCTCTGTCTCTATTTCTCTGTGAGTGTTGCTAGTGGTTTATCTATCTTATTTATTTTCTCGAAGAACCAGCTCTTGGTTTCATTGATCTTTCGGATTGTTTCTTTGGTTTCCATGTCGTTGATTTCTGCTCTAAGTTTTATGATCTCTTTCCTTCTGCCTGATTTGGGCTCCTTCTGTTGATCCTTTTCTAAGATCTTGAGCTGTGAAGTCAAGTTGTTTATGTGCATCCTTTCTTCCGTCCCGAGATATACTTGCAGAACTATAAATTTTCCTCTTAATATGGCTTTTGCTGCATCCCATAAGTTCTGGTAGCTCGTGTCTTCATTCTAATTTGTTTCCAAGTATCTTTTGATTTTGTCTTTGACTTCCTTCCTGATCCACTCATTGTTTAGCATTGAGTTGTTAAATTTCCAGGTGTTTGATTTGGTTCTCCTGTCTGTGTGTGATTCACTTCTATTCTCAGTGCATCATGATCTGAAAAGATTGTTGATACTATTTCTATCATCCTGATTCTATTGAGGTATGTTTTGTGGCCTATCACATGGTCTATTTTGGAAAATGTTCCATGTGCACTGGAGAAGAATGTTTATTCTTTCTTTTTGGGGTGTAAAGCCCTGTATAGGTCTATAAGCCCTTGCTCTTCTATTTCTTCTTTCAAAGCCAATGTTTCCTTGCTCAGTTTTGTTCTCGTTGTTCTCCAGAGGTGATAAGGTAATGTTGAAGTGTCCAGCTACTATTGTGTTGCTAGCAATGTTCTCCTTAAAATCTGTTAGCAGTTGTTTTAAGTATTTAGCTGTTCCCTAATTAGGTGCATATACATTTAAGAGTGTGATTTCCTCCTTTTGTACATATCTCTTGATGAAGAGAAAAAAGCCTTCACTGTCCCTTCTAAATTTTTCAACCTGAAATTAATGTTGTTGGATACTAGTATGGCCACCCCAGCTCTTTTGAGGGATCTGTTTGCTTGCAGGATTGTTTTCCATCCTTTAAGTTTGAGTCTGTGTTTACTCTGACCATTGAGATGAGCTTCTTGTAGGCAGCAGAATGTTGGATTCTGTCTCTGAATCCATTTTGCCACTCTGTCTATTAATTGGTGAATTTAGACCGTTGACATTGAGAGAGATTATTGTTATGGGGTTTTGAGTCATCAATCTGTAAGAGTCTGTTGTGCTTGTAGGTTTTGTCTTGTCTTATAGTAGCCCCTTTAGCCCTTGTTTTAGGTGTGGTTTTGAGTCTATGAAGTTCCTGAGCTACTGTTTATCGAGAAAATAGTGTACCATTCCTTCGATTTTGAGTGAGAGTTCAGCTGGATAGAGTATTCTTGGTGAAACTTTCATTTCAGTGAGTTTTTTCACTATATCATGCCTTTGCCTTTGGGCTTGAAGGGTTTCCTCTGATAGGTCTGCTGTGAGTCTCTTAGATGCATACAAAGGGTGCTCCTTTGTATGTGATTTCCTTCTTTGACTTTGCTGCTTGCAGTATTGTGTCTCTATCAGCAGCATTGATCATTCTAACTATGATATGTCTTGAAGTGGTTTTGTTAGGTTATTTCTTAGCTGGCACCCTTCAGGCTCCTTGAACCTGAATGGCTGCATTGTTGAGCTCTGGGAAATTTTTAGCAATGATTTGTTTAACTGTGGCTTTTTTCATTGGGATTGTTTCCCTGAGCTTCTGATACTCCAGTGATTCTAATGTTGTTCCTCTTGGAATCATCTCCTAGGACTCTGATTCTCTCTAGAGCTATCTTGAGGTCACTTGCCATTGTTTGTTGTTGCCTGTTGTCTTGGTGCAGCTGATCTTCCAGCTCCCTGATTGTCTCTTCAGGTGCAGTCATACTACTGTTGAGGGCACAGACTGAGTTTTTTATTTCATCTACGGAATCTTTTATTCATGACATTTCTGCTCTCATTTCTTCCTGTAATTTGTCGATAGTTTCTGTCATGTTACTGGATATCTGTCTGAGTGTTTCATTGAGTTCATTGAACGTCTTCATGACTTCATATCTGAGTTCTTTCTCAGAGAGGTCCCTTAGGTGAGCAGCACCTACAGAGGCTTCTGGACTCTTTTCATCGACCACCCCATGTGGTGGGGATTTGCGTTGTTTCTTCATGTTGGTGTGTAGGTATGGGGACTAGGTTTCTTGGTATTGATGTCGGTGGGCCCCACGGGTGACTTATGTGAAGCAGGGAGGAGAAAGACAGTCACTTTCTCCCCACTCGCCTCTGCCACTCGGGACCCAGGGTTGCTGGGTTCTTGTCTCGCCTCGCAGAAAGGAATTTCAGGAGTAGACAAGCAGTGAAGTAAATAGATTTTATTTGGAGGATTTTTAGGTATGGAGGGAGGGAGAGAGAGTGAGAGAGTAAAGTTAGACACGAAAGCATGAAAGTACACATCTCAAGAGGGGAGATGCGGGCGACACCTGTGCTCGGGAACCACATGTGCTCGGCCACGTAGGCACAAGCAGCACATGGACTCGGGCAGCAAATGCACGCGCTTCCTTTGTTCAAGGTGGCCTTTATAGGGTTCCTCCAACCTGCCCCCACGTGGGGCTTCTTCCCAGGTAAATGTCCCGTTGCTAAGGAGGTTGCCAGGGAGGATGGGAGTGGTGATGGTCTTCTTTGAAATTCCTTTCCTGGCCTTTTGTTCCTAGAGGAGCTTCTTTGGGTCTGTTGCTGGAGCCAGGTGAGGGTCTTATCAAGCCTTAGTTCCTGTTTTCCTATTTTCTGCAGGGCTGGCTTTTGTCATTGCCTCGGGAGGGGGCCCTCCCTGTCTACCTTCCTACATCAGTATGGCTAAACTACCTGCAGCCGCAAGAGCGTTGGCCCACCTAAAATTAAGCCACCCCTACTTCTGAAAGGTCACGCCCCCACGGGTACATGGTGTGTGTGAGGGGAGTAAAGACTGGGTGGGGAAGAAGACCAGCACAGCTTGAGGGACGAAGAGGAAGTGGCAGAGACTTAGAGCTGCTTTTCTCCTAGGGTCCGAGAGTATGCCTGGGGGGCTTGCAGGGAGAAATCCAAGTCCCGGGTTTGAATACCAGCGGATAAACTGACCTGGGTGGGGGAAAAGACCAGCACAGCTACTGAATAGTCTTTTAAAGTCCAGTCCAATTGGTTCTCGTTCGACTCTCCCCTCCCCTGACTGCCACACGCTTTAGTTAAACACCATGATTTAGATGGTTGTTCATGATGATTGATTGCAGGCATTCAATATTCAAACACCCACCCCAGCACCATTATCCCCTTCCTCCCTTTTATATTGCTTGTTATTCCTAAAGAATGATCAAAATTTTTTCTGTAAAGAATATTTGTGAAAATTGTTGTATCTCACCATGGAGACGTGAAGTCCTTGTCTGAGGGTTTTACTAAGCTGTTCCTGCAAGTTAACTTTCATTGCTAATGTTTTTGTTAGTGGAGATTGGTTGGTTTCTACTTTACATCCCATCCATCTACTACTGGCATATCAGTGATGTAGATGCTGGACATGCATTTGCTGCTGCTTGCTCTAGAAACTCAAGAGCTCTTTACTGGTCTGTCTGGTTGGAGTTAATTTAACTGGAATATGGTTTTGGGGTGTGGGAGTGACTGCAAGGGTTTTGTTTGGGCAGGAGCTGGCCCACCCCCAAGCCCCCCAAGAGAACCCTGGAGCTCTCAGTCAGGAATGGATGTTTGAGACTTTTTTTTTTGTCTAGTCTAGGTGATTTCTTTTGGGATTCGTTTGAGTCTCCGAAACAGGGCCAGTAGATGAGGAGTTTCCATAGAAGCAGAAGTGGGACGTGAGTGGTTTTCAAAATTTAATTAGTTGAGTAAAATGTTTATCTCTGCACAAGTTCCCTATTGATATTGAGAGTTCATTAGAAGATTTAAGTTCAACTATGTTAAGTAGGTAAATGTCGTATAGCTCATTCTGAAGCAAAAATTGATTTCAAATAAAATTGCCATATGCTTAAACAGCTTCATATTAGAACAGGGTGGTCATTATCTAAGTTTCAAAAGAGATGAAAGTTTTTGTACCACTTCCTCCTCTGCCTGTGTCATTGTGATTAGTATTACTATATCCAATAATACAGTAATAGTCAGCCTCATCCTCAGGCTGAAGCACAGAGATGTGCAGCAGTCCCGCATTGGTTGAGGTGTATTTGGATCCAGAGAAGCGATTGGCAACTCCGGGTCCCAACTCTGTACTTGAGTATTAACGCAGGAGAAACCTGGGAGAGTTCCCAGTCTTCTGCTGGTACCACTGTACTCAATAGCTGCCAACACTGGAACCACTGCTCAGGGTGCATGTGAGTCTGGCTGTTGTTCCAGGTGATGCAGAGATGGCAGGCTCCTGAGTCAACACAGGCTGTGAGAGGGACCCTGTAAAGTAAGACTTGTATTATCTTCAAGCAATAATTAGGTTAAATTCATCAATACTATGAACAAGGAGGAAGTTCTGTCAGGCAGCCTTTTGAGTCCTATCCATACCTGTGCAGTGAAAGAGGAGCATGAGCAGGAGAGCAGCCCAGGCCATGGTGCACATCACCCTCTGATCCCACAGAGGGCACTGGCTGCCCCACACCTACTTTTCTCCCTCTGCCAGAGGAGGAGCTGTCCATGCAAATCAGTTAAATTTAAACTAATTTTAATGCATGTCTCCTAAAGAGCATGTTGATGCGGGCTCAGCTCACACTCCAGACAGAACGGACAGTGTTTTGAGGGGCAGTTCTGGGAGGAAGCACCTGCAGAAAGCACACACAGGTTATTGGCCCAGAGGACACAGGAGCTGAATCCCACTCATTGTTCACAGACACAGGCCCCAGGACTGGTTGCTCTGAGTTAAT